CTCATAAGTGGCGAGATCAAACAATTCTAAGCAAAAAAACGAGGCGAAACTATGTACCTTAAAGATAAAGTAAAAAATAGTCAAAATTTTTGACAAATGAAGTTTTTTTTTTAGAAATTTGACATCTTGCAACTTGAAATTTTTAATATTTTTCATGATATTTTCTAACCAAATTGTCATCAGAATAATTTTTGGCACTATACAGAGCAATGCCATATCATGATACAAACATACATACATATGTACATATTTAAATATCTCGTGAGTATAACCCAAAATAGTGCGAGTCAAGACGGACATTTTGAGTAAGTAGGAAAAACAAAGCAAAAACTAATGCTCAATTATGAACTAGCTCAAAGAAAAGCAGTAGAGAAATAGACAAGAATAAATCAGCAACAACAAAAATACAAGCAAGCAAATAGTGAAACTCACAAAATATACGCAAAGTGCGGAAAAGTTGCACAAAAAAATTCAGACAACGGCGACTATCGCAAAAACACGTACACAAACACACACATAGTCACAGACTGACACACGCAAATAAAAACATGAGCTAAAACAAAAGCCAACTAGTCGCAGTGACGACACATATGTCGCTTCCTCGAACCGCAATATCGCTCAGCAGCTGGGCCAAGCCAAACCAAACCCAACCATGCTATTCAATGGCAGCCCAGATGAAAGAGGAGGAGGAAGCTGGCGAATGTGTGCCTGAGTAGCGCAATGGGCAGTCAACTAACTGCATATATGTATGCACAATCCAGCGACAGCCAGCTATACGTACAGACAATGACAAGCATGAAGCCATCTCGCTTGCGCATAAGTTAAAATGAATGACTGCCACAACAACAAGCATGAAAGCAGAAAACAGCAGCAAAAACAAAACAAAATTTGGAGGCAGCGGCAAAAGCAATAGCAATAGCAATAGCAACGGCAACAGCAGCGGCAGTGGCAGCAGCAGCGGCAAAGACAAATCTGCACATGTTAAGGCCATAAATAAACCGAATAATCGCCGAACGGAACGATCGATTGTTGTCACTGCCATGACAGCGTAAATATGCAGGTACGTACATACACTCATACGCACATACAAGAGTACATGTAGGGCAATGTGTGTAGATGAATGTGTGTTAACGAATGAGCATACAAGCTAGCAGTTGCAGTTGCACTGTGTATTTTATGTTTGTTTTTGTTGTCGCTCTTTATGAGCTTGTTTATTCCTTGTTATAACACACATACATACATATGTATAAGAAAATGTAATATGTATGAGAGTTACACAAACAAAACGAGTGCTAAATAGTACTTATGTGAGAGCTACCGTAACGGCAACGCATTGAGCGATCCACTGATGCGTGTCGAATGCAATGAAAGGGTGGGAGCGCCATTACCGAGTGAAGGAAAACACAAATTGAGTGCGTGTCGAGTGTAGAGAGTGAATGAGTGAGTTGACATTGTAAATAAAGAAAATTAAAATCAAAAGCAAAATAAAACATTAAACGGACTTAAAGCAATGCAAATGCAGTCAACATCAAACATAAACAAAGGCAAACACAAAGTGATAGAGAGAGATAGATAAATTTGAATGCAGACAAAATATGCCATGGCAATTGATCAGGAGAGTGCTTGGGGATACAGAGCGCAAAAAAATGTAAAACAAAAAGAAAAAGCTAAAGCAGCAAAGCTTACGCAAATGGTTCATAAGTTACTTGAATTCTAAGGGAAATGAAAATAGAAGTGCGATCACAATGCATTATTTTGGGGTAAGAATGGCTCAGTATTACAATTAGCAATTAATCATAAAGTTCTCTAGATGAACTTCTCACCGGTCCGGAAATGTTAAGCACTCCGAATGCATTATTTTTGGCTAGAAATTATAAGCTCCATCGGCTGCTCGGAGACGGCTTAAAATAAACTGTAGGCTCAGCCATTACAAAGAGGGCTTTTATATATGTACATATATATATAATATATGTATGTTCTCCGCTTCCAACTCTAAAAAGTATTTCTTGGAAAAAATATAATTTACCTTTCGGTTGCAGTGTACAGGGGTTCATGGATTCGAACCACCCTCAGACCAACTTTGTTTTTTAAATAATCAAATTGAAAAATAATTCAAAATAAAAAAAAAAATAGTTTTCTAATTGAATCCGCTTTTCGGCCCTCCTAGTGCTTGGATCTTTCTAAAAATTCATCGGTCCTTCGGAGGCGGCTTAGAAAAAACTCGTTTGGAAACCGCTTCAGCATTAATTATTTAATGGAGCTTCTTTTCTATTTTGTAGTTTATGGCTTGATATTTTTAATACAAATTGGGCGGTCTACAAGTTTAGGCACCTCTGAACGTTCCTTGGGATTCTTTGAGAAGCAATAATTTTACGTCATGCTCAGAAGCACTGAAACTCCTTGCCGAGAACAGAGTGCAGCTACTAACTGGGCTTCTGGAGATTTTCATTTACTACCGTAATTTAGTTTTTATTATTTTTATTTTTGATAATTTCCTTGGTTCCCATCCGGATTGCTCAGCAACAGCCTCTCCTTAGAGGTGCTTCCTTATATCGTATGTTGTTGTATCTGATCAGAGAACAATTCTTCAAATGTATCTCATGTATGCATATGGGTAATTAATGTCCTACGTACAAAGAATAACAGCACATACTTTTTGCAGGAGCACTAAGGCTTACTCACCTATCGATTTCATCTCTTGAAGTACCTTTTATGTAGTCAAAAGAAATAAGTACTCTTAAACTAAAACTAGCACTAACTATTTCACGGTAAAACATTTATCACCTTTCTTTTCGTGTATCGAATGCGGACGGCCAACCCTTCGCTAAGCCAACTAATAAACTTTTGATCACAGAAGTAAATGCTGCTCAGAAGTTTGGAGGCGACTTAGCAAAAACTGTAGGCCCCTCCTTTTATTGGAAATACATTAAGACGCAAAACCACAAATTGGAGGAGGAGTGGTTATAAAGCGCCAATTATATATATATAAATGCTGCTACCAGGACTACAAGACACTTATTTATGATTAAATAATTATTTTACTGCAGATTAAGGGCTCAAGAATTTAGTCGTAAGAGGGGACTAAAATCCAATAGTTACTCCGACGGTCGGGTCCTTGTACTGGAGCGACCTGGATTTTTATACGGCCAAGAACTGTTAATCCCGCAAGACCTAACCTAGCCGGCCATACATATACATATGTAAAATGATAGAAAATTGCCAATCGGTACAAATTGCATAGTCTTCTTTTTTTATTAAAAAAAAAATTATTTTACGAGAGTGTGGTTTTTTTTTATTAAACAATTGTATTCAATATAAAAGTTAACTTACGAATTGAAGGAACCAATACAAATGGGTGCGATGGAGATACAAATTCAAACAACTAACTCTACATATGTATAATATGTAGACTTGAGGTTGCCCGCGGCTTCGTCTGCATGGAATTCAAAGATGGCTCTAAAAAGATTTTAATTAGGTTTTTATGTTGTTTCTTTCCTTATAACTTATAAACTAAAATTTTTAATTATATGAAAAAGAAAGAAAAGTGATCCATAAATTGGTCTATGTAAAGATCTACACCAAATATCAAGCAAATCCAACTATAAACACGATTTTTCCACGCAAATCGGTTTCCACATACTGACATTGCTAAAAAGCTCCAGAAATGGACCCATATTAAACTATGGCAAGCCATCGAATCGGCCCCATGCCCTCTTTACGGAAGATAAAGTGTGCCCCGAGGCGATTTGGTCAAAGAGTACCAAATTTCTAGTAGACCAATTTGTCCAATAGATCGGTCCCAGGTCCACTTCCCGGTAAATCCTTTTTTATCGGTTATATGCGTCATACGCAGAGCGCACCGTCTAAGCTTCACTATTAGAGGCTTAGTCTGTGGGTTGCTCCGTCGGTCGTTCATGACAAAGCCTTTTATATATATGTAGATATGTACCTTTAAATTATGTGTTTTATTTTCTTTAAGATTTAAAAACTATTGAGTTTTGTTACCATCGATATACTGATTGTTATATGTTCATCTCCTGATAAGAAATAATTACATGGTGACCAAATAATTAAACTTATGGATAAAATACCTTCAAACAGATTTTTTAAACTAATCAGATTTGTTTTCAGCATAAGAATCTACATATGTATATGTATAACCTTAAAATCAAATTCCGCTTTAGCAAATAACTGCAATTTCGGTTGCACTGTGCAATAACAAAGCGCGAGTGCATTTGAATTTCCCACTCGTACTTAAACAATCTCACTTTCCACACTCATTTTACCTCATTTTTCTACTTAAATACACTGCTGCGGACAGCATTTCACTCGACGGACTCAAAACAAAGCATTGCCAACTTAAAAAACTGCTCAAACCAAACAAAAATGTAACTCAACCGGTTTCTCAACATCACACAAACAGAACTAGTAATCTACGCCTCTTGCACCATGCAAAGGCGTAAGAGAGACGTCAATACTAGAACAGTGAAACCCGCTCTAAGGCAAACATAACGATATGGCGCTCAATTGGAAAAGTGCACAGCAGAGTAGCCACGAAATCGCTGCTTTTCACTCGCACGCGCACAAGTACAACACATTACTGGCCGCGCTAACTCCTCGACTCTTTCACTCTAAGAGCAACCATTGCAGAGTAAGTCGTTATATATTGACAATAGCACACACATGCAAACACGTGCACTTAAACAGGCGCCGCCGACAACCCAACCCACCACCAACCAGTTGGGCAAGCAAACTGCTGTGCTTGTTGTTGCAGCTGTCAGTTTGGCTAAAATCACCATTCACTTCAACACACACCATTTCTTATTGTCGTCGCTGCGCTTACACGCCACAACTTTTAATGTTGTCTCACACGTACAACCGCCGAATGCCCGGCATACGTGCTCCCGTTGTGTGTGCTAGCCCATTGCAGCGACAGGTTTTGTTTGTCATCTCTTTCGTGCCGTCTCGTGTTTTTCCTGAATTTAGTTGGTCTGCGACCGTTGACGTGTTTACTAGCGTGTTGTTGGCGTGTGTGTAACGTTGAAAGGAAATATTTTTCATTTAAACGATTTTGCGTCGTCGATTTCGTGCGTGCGTACGGGCGTCCGTGCGTTTTATGCGATATTTTTGTGAATCTAACGCGTGCATTACTAGTCCGCCAAGCGGCCGAAAAAGCTTACAGCTCATATGTATATTGTGCAGTGACCTACCGCCAAAGCGCTCCACTTACGTCCTACAACAAAAGTGTGCAGGCGTGTGCGTGTGTTTGTATGCGTGAAATACGAGAAATATATAAAAATAATAAAAAAAAAACAAAGCTTTGTTGGCGTTTGCCGATGGTTAGTAATACGTTTTAGCCAAATGCGTCGGCAGAAAACACATTTCGCCCGCAAAGCCAACAACGACGGCACTTTGAGCGGCGCCACAAATTGCTTCCATTTGTTGTAAGTAATCTTGCATGTAAAAGCGCGACGTTACGCTTACGGTTATTGTTGGCGTGGGAAAAACAGAAATTGTAACATTTACAAGCTTTGAGTATTTGCATTTGTGTTTTTGCGCGTATTTTTTGTTCGCTGTTAAAATTACCCACATACACACACATTACACATATGCATGTTAATATGTGTCTGGCTGCGCTGGCCAATTTGCTTGTGTAGGTGTATTTGCGCGCGCATACAATTGAAAAAGTTTATCTTCGTAAATTTGACGGTATTTTTGAACATAATTGCACCGGATACGGACACAAGCTAACAACGGGTGAAGCGATAAAAGCGTACATATAACAATCTATATAATAGCAGCCTATCAGTGTCACGAAAAGAAGGCGATTTTTAATTACTAAATACTGGGAAAAGAATTACACATAATCAAGAAACAATTTCCAGGGAAAAAATGCCAGTAAAAATTTTACCGCGAAAAATATAACCGAAAATTAAAAGATAAAAAGTTTATAGCCAAAATTGACGAAGTGTGCAAGTGACCAAGCAAACGTATAAGAAAGTGCTGCGAAAATAACTGTAAATTTAGTGAACAACAACAATCATTGATCGAACGAAAACATAACTAAAAGTAAGTGTGTTGAAAAAGTCAATCAAACTCGTAAAATCCTACTGAAAGCTTGAGTTTGTCCAATTTTAACAGGTGTTTTTTGTGGTGTTAACTGTAAACTGTGTTGGAAAAATCATTGAAATTGAAATTGAAAATAACAAGTTTCATATTCTAATTGAAATAAGAAATAAAAAGGTGAACAACTTTTTTATTTTCGTATAATAAGTGTGTTGAAAACTTGCACAACAACACTTGTCATAAAAAAGTTTTTTACGATGCAAATTTACTGATTTATTTGTTTACTTCTGTTGTTGTTTGAAGTGACTTGACTCAAACAAAAATAAATTGGTAAGAAGGCGCGCTAAACTCTTTTACAGTTCAGAGAAAATATATTAAAACCTGTAGCAAAGTTCGAAAATAAATTTAAATTTTATTAAAACTTTGTTTAAATAGCTCAACAATTTCTAAAATACCGAAGTAAGCTGTTTAATATATTAATTATACTTCATTAATATTTTTGGCAATAACTTAAGCTTCTTGAACTATAAAATTTTTTAAACTTCGAAACGAATGCGTTTGAAAAGATTTTAATTGTTTTTAATTAAAATTACTGACAACAAGTTAAGGTTTCTGAATTACATATATATGTTTCATAATAATTTTTCTCACTTATTGCTATGAAAAGTCTTGAAAAAATTTTCCAAAATTGTTTTGAGTTGCTTCATCTCAAGAAGGGAGAGAGCTAAATGATTGCAAACAAGCTTCTCAAAGACTAGTCATGTAATTCAATATGCAAAATAGTTACAAGAAAATCAAAGCACTTTTTGTGCATATAAGGTTTTGAAAAATATATAACGGCTCATATCGAAATTTGTTCTAAAAGCTTCCAAAAATTTGGAAAATTAAATTATGGCGAGTTGTGTGAAGCGAAAGGAAATTTCGCTTTGCGCACAGTAATTTAATTATGTTTTTTAATTAAAAATATATAGAAGATAAAACATATTGTAAGCTGATTAATACAGCAAAAATCTGTTTCAGAAAAGCTGAAAGCCTGAAAAGCAGATCTTCTAAGAATGCTAAGACTTTGTTGTCTACTGCAATCTGAATTTAATCAACATCAGCTCTTCAAATGAGCCTTTCTAAGCATTTGAAAAATGTACAGAACACTTTCGGTCTTTGAAATTTGGTAGCCGCGAAATATTTCTATGAAATTGTGAGGTGCAATAATTAAATTAAAAAAAAATGCTATAATAATACTTTTCAGAACTATAATAAAAAATTTGATTTATTATATTTTTTTTAAATTTAAGATAAGAAAGTAAATAATAAAGCCAATTGTCTTGGCTTAATGAAATAATAATATAAATCATAAAATTATGCAAAATTCAAAGGAAAAATTGCGTTCTGAAAATCGTATTACTCTAGATCAGTTTTTCGCTTTCTTTTTGGTTTTAATTGTACAAAGTTATTGTCTTGAACTGGATTATATTATAATTAAAAAAAAAAAGAAAAAATGTTGTTATTAGTTTCCACAATAACACTTCATTTGATGACTAAAAAATTGACAATGCTTGAAAATTTAATTTAATTTAGCCTTTGTGTGACCAAAAAATGAATTTCAAACTACAAAGAACTCTGGAAAATCATTTTTAAATAATTATGAAATATATATTTGTAATTAGAACTCTTGAATAATAGTTTTAAAGTATTTATATAAAAATCATTTGCTTAAAATTAAACCAAAAGGCATTCAGTATTTTATTCGAAATCGCTAGCTTAAGTAATTTCGAAATTACTCGAAAATAACTTGCAAGCTTCATGGAAGCGAAAATAAATATTTAATATTTTTTAAATTCTATTATCTTACAGTAACAAACTCATTTTTGGTTTTCTTTAGTTTAGTTAATAAAGAAATTAAAAAAAGTTTTTTCTTACATAATTACATATACATACATGCAAACATAAACAATTATCGAAATAAAACAAAGTTCAAGTTTACTCGCTTTCTCTTTGCTAATCTCTATCAATTACGCCTTGTGTCAACGCATTGTGTTACTTGGATTATCAAAATAATGAACTTAAAATGATTAAGCTTATCATTTAACAACAACAACGGATATATGATTTATTAAATAATGTTTTCATGTTTTTTGTTTCTTTTGCTATTGTTTTCTATATAATTCATAGATTTTGCGGCAGCGTGGGTGAATAAATTATTTGTTTGTTGATTACAGAAGATTAGAAAAATAATTATATTATATTTGTTAGCCTCAACGGTTACTTCTCTCTCCATTTAATCGTATTTTTAAACAATTTTTATTTTGATTCATAATTTCTTTCCTCAATAAATAAATTTGCAAATTAACTGTTCCAATTGACGTCAAAATATTTATTTGACGCTTTGCATTTTCTCTCACGCCTTGCCAAATTCCCAAAGTAATTCACAAATTGCAAAAATGTAAAAAATAAAATAAAAATAGATGGAAAAAGGAAAAAGGACACCCAAGTTGATGGAGCAATAAAAGGTATCTTTCATATGGAAACCGCACACAGCATCACTTTGATGTTTTTAACAAAGAAATTAAGTGTTTAAAAGAGAAGAAACACTTGTCAAAATGACACTGTCGCCAACAATGAAAACCAGTCTGATTTCCAAAACAGTGAACTCCAAGACAAAAAAAACTGCCAATTTTATTAACCATTCCCAATAGACTGAGCATTAAAAGCACCAACAATGGCATACCACAGCGTGGCACAATGACTAAAGTATGTCTCACAGCAAGTAACAACTAAGTCATTCACATATGCGACAGAAAGGATTCTGGTAGCCACCAACAACTTTACAAGCGCCTCAAATTCGCTACACTCAATGCAAGCAAATGTTTTCTAATTTAGAAAAAATCTTGGAAAAAAAGTAAATTTTAGAATTGACACAGAGAAAATGCATAAATAGAAGACAATTGAGTGTGAGTGCGGTGCCTGTTGAGTTCTTTTTTTTTGTTTTTTTTTTTTGTTGGGCTAAAGCGGCAGTCATTGTAACGCTGTACAATTAATCATTTTTTTTGCCGCTGCTCTCTATTGGTAATGCGTGCATCCAGTGAGGGAAAACAATATTTTCATTAGTGGCTTATAGCAGTCAAAATAATATTTGAATGTAATTTTCACAACAATAGGGAGGTGAGCAGGCAGCTTCCCACGCACTCGAAGATAACATGCAAAAGAGCGATTTTCTTAATATTTAATGTCGTATTTAAGTAAGATAGTTTTTTTTTTAGGAAAGCATATAAATAATGTAAGAATTTGATGTTTAGAACAATAAAAAGTATGTGCTTTAAATACCCGAAGTATATATTTTTTTCTTTTTTTTTTGTTATAAAATTTCATCTTGTTGTATGCTACACCTGAAAATTGGCGGCTTGTTTTCGATTTAAATTTTTTTTAAATCGTTTTTTAATCGCGTTTTGTACTCTTCGCATTAGTGATTCACAAACATCTCCACTTTTTTCTTTGTATATTGGAAGCTTATCGCCATAAAAGATGGTCGTGATTGTCCTGCGATTTCAAGTGCTTCCAAATGAACGACACCCTTTTTTACCTATATAACAAATATATGCATATATCACCAATCTTGAGAAAATAACTGAAAACAATTAAAAATTGTTTTGATTAAAGTGAGCGGAGACACACACTAAATCTAAACTCTAGCGTAGGTCAAGCCCTCCTTGCCTTAGTGTATACTTTAACTAAAAATTTCGTATATTCTGCTTTTGTACTTAGTGAATTATAGCGGTTTTTGTATTTCTTTTCCTCAATATAAGATTTTTGAAATCATTCTATTTTCTATGTCTGCAGTGTCTGCATTGCATACACATCCATTATGATTCTATTAAATATATTTCAATTTTCAGATAAATTCGATTTTTTTTTAAATACTGCTGATGTGAAAATTTTTAGTTTAAATATTTTTTTTTGCATCAAATAATAATGCCAATCGAAAAATTTGTTTCTTTTTTTCAAATTAAATTCGAACTTCTTTATAAGCGCAATAAATAACGAAAATTATAATTTAAATGATGAACAAAAAATGTTAATATTAAAATTGGTCAGCATTCCCTTGATATTAATTTGCATATACTAGAGTTCAAATTGCACAAACAAAATACATTGGCTTTTTGTATTTGTATTCCTGCTACTAACGTGTTTGAGTTTGCCTTGCTCAAGCATTAGAGCAAACATTTTGACCTTTTCTTAGAGCATTATTCTATAATTTTGATTTTATTTAGGCAAAGTGAAAAATTCATTTCAATACTAAAGGAATTTCGAGTAATAAAATTGGAAATTTGATAATTTGAGCAACGACTGAGTATCGAGCGAGTATTGTCCACATCCATCTTCATAACTTTTTCTTGTTGAATTTCCAAAAATTCATTAACAAATTTCAATTTGATATTTTAATTTAAATTTTAAATTTTAATTTTATTTTTAAATTTTAATTTTAATTTTTAATTTTTAATTTTTAATTTTTAATTTTAATTTTAATTAAATAGCATAAATTTACTTATTTTACAAATCTGTGAATTATACAATTATTTAAATAAATATATGTGCATATATGTATTTAAATATTATTTTCCAAAACCCAAAAACTGTGTGCCACTTTGTTGAGAAATTCTTATTATTAATGTGGTGTAGATGTGCCACATACTATATGTATAAATTGTGAAATATTTTTTTTTTAATTTTTAATTAAATATTTAATCTACTTCACTTGCACATAAGCAATCAGCGCTTCGCAACATAAATAAATAAATAAAAAAAAAATATTAAGTAATAATAAGCACTATTATTTTTCAATCGACCATCAAAAATTTTATCTGCGTCAAGAAAAAAAAAACAAAAAATATTTTCGAACCAAATCAATCAGGGCAAAAAATTTAACTTTGTTCAATACAAGCATGCGACTTTATTCTTTAAGAAAAAGAAACAACAAATCATGCTTCAGTAACGAATTTAATTTATTT